CACAGGAATTAAGGAAAGAAATTTTTTTTCCAATTTACCCACAATATTGCATTAACTACGCCATTTTTCACTTAAATTCAATTATGTCATGCTCTCTTCATCTAAAAAAGTCAATTAATGCAAGAAGGATGCTAAATCCGTGCTCCATTGGAAAAACTACGAGCACATTCTCCATTTCAAGAAGGTTCGTATATAGAAATTGAAATTTTGCAACACCAGTGAACCAATTTCCAATAAAATTAAGAGTGCTCGAAATGGGCACAATATTTAAAATTGTACACTGCGGTTTAGAGGGAATTATAAGAATCGTACAAGAAAAAAGAATTGTGCCCATCAAATGAATTTTTCGTACATTTCTTAATCAAAATGAAGAGAGAAAGGAATAAAAACATTATTTTGAAAACTTGGTCATATTCAATGTATTTTTTGTATATTGTCTGCCACTATCTTGATATTTTTAAATTAATGTAATAAGGAAAGCTATATGAGGAGGCATATGAACTTTATACTTTGATTTTTTTTTACCAAATTTAAAAAGATTGTCTAAATAAATAGAACACCCTAATTAGATATTTTGTCCAAATAAATGAATAGGCGGAAGTATAATTTGGAATTAAATTTCAAAGTTATAATATATGCACATATATGCTATATACAAAATGATCTGCCTTTCACGATCCGTTGCATGAAGACATTTTAAGGGCTTTCCATATTTGTTATGGCTACTGTTATTTTGTCAAATTTCAAGAGCCTAACTTTATGGCGCTTTCGTGCATTGTGACAAGTATTAGATCATCAACACATGTTAAAAGCATGTTACATTAGAGTTCAAACATTCCACTCCCACGTTCGATCACAATACGAGATTTCAAAACTTCTGTAACATGTTTGAATCTCACAATTTCAAAGTTTGAACTTTTGAATTACATGTGAGTGTTGCTAACTATTGTTCATGCTCTTAAAAGGGTCAAGGTTGTTTTTAACATGTTATGTTCCCGTACTCTTTAACAGGTTTCATGACTCCCTTCTCATAAATACTTCGTTCATGGATCGAACATCATGTCTTTATAGAAATTGTCCGCTAAACTCAAGTGTGTCTTATCACTTACCCCACATAATCTTTTAATAGGATTTGTGATCGTTCCTTCTCATAAATACTTTTTAACAGGTGGAACCTCCTGTTTTTATAGAAATTATCCGCTGAACTCAAGTGTATCTTATTACTTAAGTCATTCCGCACGATATATATAAATAGCCAACCTAATAGAATTTCAATAACCAATATGCATATCCATTTCTTTGAATGTCTTTAAATGACCAATAGAATCTCATGTCCTTATAGAAATTATCCACTTTAAATGTGCATTATCACTTAAACTACGTGCATGCTCTTTTAACAAGGTTTGTGATCGTCTCTTTTTATAAATACTTTTTGACGGATCGATCGAACTCTCTGTTTCTATAAAACTTGTCTACTGAACTCAAATGTAGCTTACTATTTAAGTCACTCGGCATGACTTTAAGTCGATGACCAATATGCATGTTCATTTCTTTGAACAATGGAAGTAGAGAGGACTGTTAGGATGCATTTGGACATATACACACAACTACAAAAGAACTTAGTAAAAGTGACAACACGTGAAGAAGGCAGGCATGAGAGCCCACAATCTATGTATACATATGAATAAAAGGGAACTGTTTTTACACTTTACACTTTGTCTGTCAATATGAATGATTTTTCGATAATAGAGTAAAAGTGGTAACGATGATATATAGCAGATGAGCGAGCCTCTATGTCTGTGTCTTTCTTTTAACTAAGGTCCACACGCAAAAGACTATTTAGACACTGTGTGTGTGTGTCTAGTAAGTGGAGCTCATAGAAAAGAGAATATTACAAGTCCAACTACTTCCACCCGCAAAGCCATTGCTTAGATTTTTCTATGAGGTGGAAAGTTTGGTCACTTTGGATTACAACTTAATTATTTTATTTTTTTATGTCATTCGTTTCTAATATATATATATATAGTTATAATATCGAATTTGTTCGGTAATATTAGCTGTTTTATTAATTTTTAGTAATTACCTATTAGTTTTTAGCTGATAGCTATTTATATAGCGGTTTAAATTATGAATATTTGGAAAGAAATATTTATTTAATTAAATGTTTTATTTAAAATGACAAAAAAAAGATATTGATTGTTTACTTAAAGGAAAAAACAATTGATATGATTGTTAAAAAAATTATAATTAAAAGCTAAAAATTATATTGTTTCATAAAAAGCTAATTCAATCTCTAAAAATTATTATAAAATTGAATGCTATAATTAATAGAAATAGAGTTTTGACTTGATCAAAACGCTAAAAACTAATAAGAAAGCTATTGTCGCGATCGTTATCAAGTGGAATTTCATAATAAATTCCAACGGAAAAAGAATTGATAGGCTATTAATATTATTTTTTATATATAAGAACGTGTTTGTTACTCTAATTTTCTTTTACAAAATATTATTAAAGTTAATAATTTAGTCAGTCACTATAATTAACACTTATATAGTGACCGCAACCCACCCGCTACATAATTTATTTCTATATGAAAGAAAATGAAGTGTACTACTTCAACTATAGCTTAGTTAGCTAATTAATGGATTTCATTAATAAATATTTAATTAATTACAAGATTAGGGAAAGTCATTATCACTAATGGCTACTTAAAGACTTGTAAACACAGTTTTCTTCTTTCATGTGCAGAACGAGCTGACTAGTTCCCACCAAACTTTGCCCACTTTTGTCCCTATATAAACATATATAGAGTTGAATATATTATATTATTAAATAATATTGGTTATTAGTATAAATATTTTAAAGAGAAATGGATCAAAATTAATTAAATTAGATTTAAAAAATTAATTAAATGGGTCGTTCTCAAAAAAATGGCCAGGTCATGAGGAGGTGGTTAAGGGAGTAGAAAGATTGCATTTTCTTGTCTCAAAGGTGGCAGCAACCCCAATAATAAGTAGCCCTTCAAACCTTTCACAACACTAACTGATTTTACCCACTTTGCGTTCTTGGAAGGGCTTTAATATTAATTATATTACTAGTATCTATATATCTACATATTGGAAATTTTTGTTCAAGTGTGGACTCCTTCAATTTTGGGGCTACACATTGGAATTAGGGCAAGAAAAAAAATAATTAGCCAAAAAATAAGATAATTAAGTTGTCTTATATGGTAATTACACTTGACATTTTCTTAAACTCTTCTTAAAATAAAGATGGAAAATAAAAATTTACTGTTTAAAAATAGAGAGGAAAATTCTGAGGGAGGAAAAATATTTGTCACTGTCCTCTGGGCTCCACATATGTCTATTCTAGAAGTAACTGTTCAGTTGAAAAATATAAAAATGCCTCCAAATAAATTTGTATCTGTTATTCACCTTATTTCCTTTCATCCAAACACAATAATGAAAAACATTAGAGGAAAGAAAATTGATTATTTCCTCTTATTTTCCCTCCTAATTTCTTTCCCCTTTCTTTTTCTTCCTTCCCTAATCCAAACATAAGCATTGGGTTATGATTGTTTGTTTCTTTTTAAGAAATTTCAATATTATTAAAATTTAAAAAAAAAAATATTTTTTATTATTATGTATTCATGCTATAAACTAAACAAAGAAAAAAAAATTATAAAAATTATTTAATTTCGATTTTAACCGAAATCGTCTTAAAAAATCACAGGTTCGATTTTAATTCGACCTCGTTTAAAATCGAAACCGTGTTCTAGCACGGGTGAAGCATTCCTCGATACTAACAACGTGTCAACAACAGTGGACCCAAGTGTTAATACAGGATAAAATGAGCATAGATGAAGAATATTAATTGGTAAACATTTTCTTATTACAGTCTGACTTTTCCATTTGTGTAGTTGAAATTTTGCTATGACTGATGTCCAAGAAAATTGGAGAGAGAGAGAGATAGAGAGAGTGAGAAGCACGTACTTTTCTCATTAAACAGCTATTTAATCTCCCAAAGTTAGGCACTGGACCAGGAATTTTATAGAGAAAAATAAAATTATATTAAGATAATATTAATTAATGTTGGAAAATCAAGATTTTATTTGGTTATTAACTTAATATTCTAATCAATAATCCCAGAATAATTGTCAAATCCTTATCTAAAATGCAGAAAATAAGCCTAAATACGTTATTGGTTTTCCTAATTCCTAATTTTTTTTTCTTATCAAATTTGATTTAATTAACCATCAATTCTATATTAAATTTGTGCAGTTGAAATAAACATAAATTTTATATTAAACATGAATTAAAATTAGATAATAGCGATACGGGTGAAAGAGATTCATATTTAATACCATTACATTAAATCTGTCATTCAAATTAGATGCTATTCGAATTGTTATAATTAAAATATCAGAATTTAGAAAGAAAATATTTTTACCATCACTTATACAATAATTCCAACATTAGGAATTAGGTTAAATACTGAAATTGACATAGGGAGGCTTCAATATTCAATACATCGATTTACCCTCCATTTTGTTTTCAAACCACGAGACCTTTCATACCAAAACATACAAACCTAACGAACTTTAAAAAAAAAAAAAAAAAAAAAAAAAAGGGAAAAAAGATAAAGAAAAGATAAAAAAGAGAGAAAAACGCGCGCCAAAGCAGCCACGCAAACCAAGGCAAAAAATAAAAATTCAACGGATGACATCCATATCTTCCAATAGTACATGAATCACATCAAACATTTGTCGTTTCTATATATTCTTCCTTCTCATACCCAAAAATCCTCACCCCCTCAAAAAAAAAAAAAAAAAAAAAAAGGAAAAAAGATAAAGAAAAGATAAAAAGAGAGAAAAACGCGCGCCAGCAGCCACGCAACCAATGCAAAAAATAAAAATTCAACGGATGACATCATATTCAATAGTACATGACATCACATCAAACATTGCTCAGTTCTATATATTCTTCCTTCTCATACCCAAAAAATCCTCACCCCCTCTCTCCCTCCCTCTCTGTCTATCAAAATTGAAAGGAAAAAAAATACCACAGCCAATTAAAATTTAACAAAATGGAGTATAGTGAAGCAGCCGCTTCTAACACCGCCGCCGCCGCTGCTACCAATTCATCTTCTCCTTCTTCTTCAGCTTCTCCGCCTCAAACTCCTACTTTTACTCCCCCACCGCCTGTCCCGGTGGTTGTTAGTCCTTGCGCTGCTTGTAAGATTCTCCGGCGAAGATGCGCTGATAAATGTGTCTTGGCACCATATTTTCCACCTACTGAACCGGCGAAGTTCACCATTGCTCATCGCGTCTTTGGCGCTAGCAATATTATTAAGTTCTTACAGGTAGCTACTAGCTAGTCCATCAATGACGGTTTTTCTTTTTTATTTTTTTTCACTCTGCAACTTTTTCTTCAAGGATAATACCGTCATTTTGTTCTGAAACTAGAGTAGTTAAATGATAGTTGGAAGTTGGTTCAAAAGTTTTAAAGAGGCAGGTCAGGTGCCGTAGATGGCTGGGGTAGTCGTAGTCTTTTACCATTGTTTTTGATGCCCTCCCTCGCTTTCTATCAAAGTTTTGAAAAGTCTGTCAGATTGCGGAAAGGCACCCAATTGTGCCAAATTTCCAAACAGCCCCCAAAGTTTGAAAGATTAAAAAGGAAAAACACTAAACAAATTGCAATTTTCTTATTTGTTTGATGTAGAATTTTTCGTTTTTATATCTTATCATCTTTCATTTTCAAAGGTCCATACCCCCTTCACGTCATGTCTATTCGTTATTTTTAATTTTCTGTCTTTTTCTGGGTTTTCGTAAGTATTTTCGTACCTTTTTTAAGTATGGAATTAAACTCTCTCCATAAATCTTTTTTTATATTTTTTTTTATGGATTGAATTTTTAATCGGAAAATTTATTTATTTTCATTAATGAGCTATAATTGAAGTTTGAATTTATAGTTTGATAGTTCTAAAAGTAATAGAAAGATGGATTGTTGAAATTTCAGGAACTTCCGGAATCTCAAAGAGCAGATGCAGTGAGTAGCATGGTTTATGAAGCGAGTGCGAGAATTAGAGATCCTGTTTATGGGTGCGCCGGAGCAATTTGCCATCTTCAAAAACAAATTAGTGAGCTTCAAGCACAATTAGCTAAAGCACAAGCAGAGCTAGTGAATATGCAATGCCAACAAGCTAATCTTGTGGCAATACTTTGTAATTGTATGGAAATGGCACAATCTCCCCAACAATCATCGGAACAATCCGTCGACAATTTCATTAGCACCCCACAGAGCTACCAGAGCAACCCTTGCTTCATTGATGAGAGCAATTTATGGGAACCTCTTTGGACATAATTAATTAATTAATTAATTAATTAATTAATTGTAACCAAAAATTTCTCTAGAAGTTAATTAATTAATTAATAATTATGTTCCAGTGAAGTTCTCCTAACTCAAGGGCTAACTCACTCGCTCTAAACGTGAGAAGGAGAAACCCAAGGACATTAATCTTAATAAGATTATTAACTTAATTATAATGGTTAGGGGTATAATAATATAGGTAATTAATAGCTTGTGTTATGAATTTTGGAGGGAAATTAGTTAAGTGTAAGCTTTTGGATCTAATCTTTTTGTTAAAGCTAAACAAAAATAGATTGGACTCTGTTTTCCTCCCTTGTAATTTTTAATTTTCTATTTAATATAATTTTAATTTAGGAGAAAAATGAGAGATGCCATTTACTTCACTTCAGTCTATTTGTAGTTTGTACTAATTATTATTACTTAATCTTATTACTTAAACAACTTTATGGTCACCTGCTATCATTACTTAAAATGTATTGGTGTTTCAAGAATTAATTGCTTTTTGACCCATCTATTGATTTATGCTTTTCTTATACTGACTTTGACCACTTAAAATCTCTTTATCCATTCCATTACATGATCTTCCAATGAAAATATATATATTAATCAACTAATCACTTTTTTTAAATTTTTTTTACATTATTTCCTAAAGTTTCAATCAAATATCAAATCTGAACAGTTTTGAATTGTTTACTATTAAAAATAAATACAAAATTAAAAAAAATAATTAAATACCACGTCAAATGCAGACTCGCAGGATAGTTAATTATTATTAGGGTACAGAAAGCAACAAATCCTAACCTTTTTTTTTTTTTTTTTTAAGTATAAAAAAGAGAACATCATTTCGAAATTTAAATTAATCGCATTTAATTAAGACCTTGCTAGAATTGATTTAGTTATATATTTCTTTTTATATATATTCATGTTCTTATAATGTGGACTAATTTGAACGTTAGTTTGACATGGGTAGCATCACATTTCGTACCAACTCAGCCATTGCAATTTATTTTATCAGCTACTTCGTTCATTGAAGAACTGAACCAATGATAGCAACGTGTCTCGCGGGCAAGGGTGACCAAAATTCGATTAAAATCGAAAAATCGATCTGAATTGTTTTAGTTCGATTATTTAGGTATTCGGTGCGGTTTTGGTTTTAAAGCTTAGATAATTTCAGTTTTTCGATTCAGTTATATAATGTATGTGATTAAAATCAATTGGAATTAACTAAATTGAACAATAAATTTCATTCAATTCTAAATAAACTTTGGTACGATTTTGATTTAAGAAAAAGGAAATTTGGTCCGATTCTAAACCGAACCGCCTGTTGGCACCCTCACTTACAGTGTATGTCCTTTTTCAAGGTATGGCTCATATTTATTGACAGAGGGCTACGAATATGTTAAGAGTCTCTGTCAGAAACTTGGAGATCGACTTCATAAAAGTATGTTTGAACTCAATTTTTCAAATTTACCTAGACCTGTGAGTCATCTTTTTATATGCATATTTGTGGTGGAGTAAAGATTTAGTGTTAGGAAAAAAAAAATCCAAAATTTGGAGGAACAAAATAAAAAAAAAAAAAAATCAATTTTTTTTAACAAAATTTGAAAAACAAAATATTATTAAATCCTTTAACTTAGATCTTTTAATTAATTTTGAAATAAAGCTATAAATTACTAAATTTATAGCATAAATTGAATTTAAAAATGAGTAAACTGTTATTTATTCCTTTATTTATACTCAAATATACATAATACTTATGACCTTTATTTTAAGAATATAATTTATATAGTCTTTCAATTTTATCTCAAGTACTATTTATTTTTTCATTAATTGCTATAGTGAATATCGTTATCGTTCATAGTAAATATATATTATATTTTACGTTTACGTTATTTCGAATTTTCTAAAAGAGTAAATTATTATTTTATTTCTTAATTAGATTCAAATACACTAGTCAGAATTCCCTATTGATGTATACTAATTAGTCATGACAAAGAAACGAGCTTTGCCACATTTGACAAAATGCTTCTCTAACAATTTCTAAACTATCAATTTCTAAATTAAATCTGGCTCCAAATAATTTGCAGATTCGATTAAGACTAGTTCATTTGTCCTCTTGATCTCTGTTAGACTTTGTTATAGAAGCCGTGACTCTATTTTTATCTTCTTTTTCTTTTTTTTTAATTTGTTTTGGACCCAAACGACAATTAATTTGTGTAAGTTGAATTGTTTTCCAGCAATAACAACACAACAACAATTTCTTCTGTGGGGAACGAGAATTCTCCAGTGGGATATTGCTAAGATTTTTGAATAAGTTTATTTTGACTCCCGACAAATTTAACAGAATGATTAAGTAGTATATAACCTAAATAAAATTGAGGATTACATGTTAAATGTTGAAATTAGGGATTTTAATAAGCATGTTGGAGTATAATTTGAGATATTAATAAAAGATTCAATTAATAAAATTAGACCTCACGAAATTATAAACTCTGTTCCATTCATGATTGACTATAAAGGTCTGTTTAGTAAAATTAATTATTTTAATAGCTGCTAGCCGTTTTAATAACTTTTAACTGTTTGAATAATTTTTAATAAGACGCTATAAAAATTAATTTTTATAAAATGATATCTTAATTTTTAAATTCAAACGTTACGTTCCGAATTAAAACCTACTTAAAAAAAAACCATTATTGAGCCATCCTAATACTTTACCTAAGGAAGAGTTCGAGACTTTGAAATTACCGGTGCTACCACTTATCAGGGATTCATAGGAGTCGCATCGCGCGTGTAAGTGTAATTGCGATCGATCTCTTAAGAATAACTTTTCCTTTTTCCTCCGTATGAGCGGTCATGGCTTCTGTCTCCTGTAAAACGCGGTTTTAGCAAAAGTCACGTGCACCGCACCTGAACTTTATCATTGCCGAGTGAACAACTTGTTATCACCTGTCGGCAACCAAATTGATGATGATATGGATTTATCTCACTCAAGTTGTTTGTTTCTCGAGAAAAAAAAAAAAAAATTATATCCTCTGTACGAGACAAAATCTAGTGTTCCTCTTACCCAACATGCCATCATTTTCCATGCCTAAACGGGAAGAAGTGTGTGGTTCATGTGTGTTTTTTTGACTCGAAACGTGTTGTATTAACGAATAGTGTTAATTTCAAAGTCAATATATGCTAATCTTTCTCGATTGAGACTAACTTATAGTACGTACCGCTCATCAACTGTAACCAACATCAGAACAATTGTGGAAAAGAATGTTGAAATGTTTAATCGATTTACACCGATCACTTTCATTAAGAAAGCTTCAGATTCAAATCTTTCATTTACAGAAAGTTTTGAAAAATAATAAGTTAATATGGATTTAAATTTTGTTGGGCAATATTAACTGTTTTACTAACTTTTAGCTAGTAAATTTTTATATAATTGTTTAAATTAAAAGTGTTCGATAAAAGTGACTATTTAACTTAAAATGAAAAAAAAAAAAGATATCAATTGTTTAATTAATCGAATTTATCTATAACTACTTTAAAAGTTATGTTACCAAACACTACGGTTAATGGAGATAGAATTTTAACTTGGTCAATATGTGAAAAACTGTTATAAAATACCATTGGCTTTAATTTACATATGTATTCTTATGCTCAGAATAAAAACATATATTCACATAAATCATTTCACCGACGAATCGGGGTTTTGAACCCCAAAACTAATTCTAAAAATTACCATAGTTTGGGATTGTTTACCAAGAGGACATATAATCTTAATGGGTTATTATTTATTTCTTAATTACTTCTAGTTTGGTGCATAACGAAGTACAAATTTCATTATATACTAATGATGTGATAATTGATAAGAATTGAATTTTTGAGAGCTTACATCATCTTCCATAAAATGGAGTCTCCAATTCAAGTTGTTCAAGTAATTAAAGGATAGAGTTGAGCTTTTTGACATGAGTCTTACCTATTGATATTCCTTATTGCACATGAATATATACATAGGAGATACATGCTAACTAAGACTTATAGAACTAACATAATACATGGATATAATCATACACTAAGTTGCACATGTCATCACATGGGAATGTAAGAAGTTTGACACATACATACATGTAAAAGCATGTACATATTATCCTAATAAATATAGAAAGAAGCATTTGATACTTATATTAAGAATAAGTATGGATCTGATTTTTTAATTTCACATGCAATGAACAATAATGCAAGATATAAAATCTAAGAAGAAATGGTTAGTTATTAAATGTAATGTGACCCATATGATGCATGTGTCATCATCATGATATTGATTGATTTGTTAATTACTTGGTGAACTACCAAATTTTTGACTCCTACTATAGTTAAGAGTTAGGTAACTAGGTAGGTTAAGTGACAATACAGGCATGGAGGGTATTTTTGGAAGCTAGTGAATCCCCAAGTCTATCTGAAGCTAACTATTTGTTGTCTTCTATTGACTTCTTGATATGTATAGTATAGGTCAAAACTGAAAAACTCAACTAGATGGAATTTTTCAGTTCAGCAATTTAATTAATCAATTTCAATTTTGGTTTGTGATTTAAAATAATTTTAAATAATTTTAAATTTATGGTTCTGTTATAAAACGTAAATTAAATTTAATAAAAAGTATTTGTTTAAACATTGTCATTAGTGACCTAAATTTGCGATTTGATTTTATAGACTCTTTTTGTTTTTGAAAAATATTTTATGGATACTCCAAAATTTCAGACTGCTCAAAAAAATTAGTTTACAAAATACTATTTCATGATCAAAGGGAAAACTAAGTTTTTTTTTTTTAAAGAAAATTGACTTTCCTATTTTAAAAAAATGCGAACATTTTGCAAAATGAAAGTGATTTTTCAAACACCGACAAATTTACTATGACTTATAATATATAATTATTAATCCATTGATCACTAATATCCACCGCCGTCGGTCACCGCTAAATATCTCAATTTTATCATAATTTTTTGTGTATATTTTTTATATTCAATAATAAATTTATGAAATATGAAATTTTTATAATTTTAAATATTTTATAATCTTCCAAATTAAAAAATCTAATACTAGATTGTGATTTTTTCTTTCCTCAACCAAACAAACACGAACCCATTGGCTGGAATTAATGTTTAAATTCCAATAAGAAAACATCAAGGATTCAAGTTAGGGAACTCAGGAAAATTCCGAGTCTTTACCCGAGTCATGACAAATATATACTCGTACGTGATGCGAACCCAGGAAATTTCTAAGTCTTTACTGATGAGATGCTCGTCCTATACAAATCTATTAATTGGTGTTTAGGGTTGGTACGTAGTAACGTAGCTGATCATGCCATTTTGTATGACTAAACTTTCTTCGTCTA